TAAAAAAATATGAAATTTTGAGCAGACTAAAGACACAACCTACCTCCTTGAAATCTTAGTTCGAAGGAATAAAATGTCTTCCTAGGACTTTGATATGGCTAGGAAAGCCACTAGGGGGACATTCTGAACTTTTGAATGGTTATTCATGTCATATATAGAAGTAAGTGTATATAAGGGAGTGTTTCCAAAATTGGAAAAAGGTGGGCAGGGTGCCATTGTGTTTGATTCATTACATGAGCAATACCTTACCAAATAGAAAAGATAAGAGGTTCTTATTTTATATTCTAGCTTGTCAATACTGGCAATTTGAGTTCTTAATTTGTATAAAACTATGGACTTAGTATTTTTTATCACAAACATCTAATTTGAATCAGTGCTGCATTCAACATACCATGTGACACACAAAAATTGATGTTTAACAGTAATGTATAATACAAAGTTTGGATTATAATCTACAGTTTGATACCAAACTTAATGACCTAAATTCATGAAATAGTAGTTCAATAAAATTTTGAAAGTGAGTCAACGAGCGAGATGAATGGCCTTTGACCCACATGGAAAGGGTTAAAATATACAAACATCGCCACTGTTCTATAATGTTTTTTAAGTTACATGAAAATATTTTATTTTATTTATATGGACCACTTGTAAAATAAAAGTGTTTTCAATCAAATATAAACTAGTAATTATGATGACATCATCAGTAAATTGTGCAAATTTGTACTATAGAAGGTTTGAATCTTTGTTCAGTGATATGTTCTGAACCTTTGAAGGTCAAAATCTACCCTTTGTACAGCCCTAAAATAAAGCAATTAAAAATTGAGAGAATAAGTTACTGAGTATAAAAGTAACAAAATATATTTCATACCTAAAATCCCATTATAACGTTGAGTTTTCCTCAGTCTCAATGAATCTCCAGCTCGTAGCTTCACACCTTGCATCTTCAGGCGAGTGTTAACAACCCAGAGTGGAGTTGTTACAATAACATTCACTGCACCTACAGAATTTAAAATTTTGCTTCAATTTCATTAACTGTTGGTTCAAAAATCAAGAATCTATTTCAACATCTTATTCCACCAGTTTAACCCTCTAACATCAGGTATGGCCACAACCCCTCAGAGAGTTACATTTAAAATTCATCCAAATAATTTTATATTATTAATGTATGTTAGCAAACAAAATTACACATTTATATTATAGGTATTGTTAAAACATAATTTAAATTTACAGTCTCTAATCTTCTTGCTTTACTAAGATATAAATCAGTAAGTCCAACTTCCATGCCATGACTCCTACAACATCCTGTCTTTCCAAAAATATCAATAATTTTCTCAGACTTTCACTAATAGATTAGTTATAATCAACAGAAAGAGGTTTTAATTTATTGCTTTCCTTATAAGGCTAGCTTATTCTTCCAATATGTTTTGAGTTACTCTGCATCAATTTCACAGTTTGCTATCTCCAAGATCACTTCGATCAGACAAACAAATTATTTTAACCAACTTATATATTAAATAAAAAGCCAGTTAGATTACAATAGTTGTGAGACATTGTGTTCTTTGTGCATATTATTATTTTGTGTTCCAAACTGCATATCTGAAATAAATAAATATTATGTAAAGTACTAACGAGAACCATATAAAATATTATGGGTAACTTTTATAGACTTTTAGGACAAATAGGTACAAGACTCATAAGTACTTAATTACTTGTATTTTATGGTCATCATTTAATTATTGTTATCAATGTATCTAAAATGAAAAAATCTGAAACTTAAAGGTTAGAAAAGAAAACTTGTGTGAAAAAAAGTTAAGTAAAAACATTTTTCTGCACGAAATGCATGAAAGCTGCTAGCGTGTGGTGTAATTCAATACTTTGTTTACCATAGCTTGCACTATGTTCTTGCTGGGTGATTTTATTGATTAGCTGGACTAGTTTAGTTGTTAGACATGGTTCAGAGAGCAAATGAAACAAAATTAAAGTGGTTTTGAAATGGCTAGAGGACTGTAGGTTTTAGGATACATAACTGTAATTGTCTGTTACAACTTGCAGTCATTCTTAAAAAAAGTGATTTGACTTTATTTCATACACTTTAACTTTTGTTGCAGATAATTTTGCTACAGCTAGTGTTAGGGTATCGAAAATAAAAGATAAAGTCAACAGTTTTACAAAAATCATCTTTTGATATTCATTTAAGAGGTTCAATAGGTTATGTGAATGAAATATGAAAATTGTCAGAAGAAAAGGTATTTTTATTCTTAACATGAAAATCACCTGCACCCAGACTAGTCAGAGTCAGAATGACTAAATTAACTCAGAGTTAAATCTTTTGTAGAAATACTTTATTAAAAATTTTAAAGATTTTTTTTTTCACATCAGATTTGTAATGTTTACTAAAAGTTTGTTAAGTTTCATGAAGATATACTAATTATAGTTTCATGGTTACATTGTGGTTAAAAGGTTGGTCAAAATGACCAAGCATATATACAGAGAGCTAAATACATTAAATACTCTTACAAAATACAATGATAAAGTGACTTTGAACATATGCATTTAAAATGCACATTTCCTCTATAAGCAAAATGCCTAGAATTAATGTGAGAACAAAATGTGGAAAGTTTACTCCCTCAACTCTAACCAAATGAAATGTTAAGTGGTTGGATTATTCAATTCATAATCCTTGTTACATCTCAAGTTTATAGTTATTTAGGAAACCATAAAGCATGCCAACATTCTAACTAGGACAGTTAGACAATGGTTAATGTATATAAGAATAATATTCAAATGCTGAATCCCAAATGCTTTTATCAGATAATTTGAACAAATGAGGTACAAAATGACCAAAAGAACTTAACTGGTGTGAAGAAATTTTCATCACAAAAAATGATTAGATTGTATTTTTGTAGCTCATAAGTAGAAAATACAATCAAAGACTGTTTCTTAAATATATGTAATACCAAACTGCTGTAACCAACATTCTCTGATATCTCTGATGCAAAAAAAAATAGAAAGATTGAGAACACAAATGTTTATTCAAGGAAACCCACATTCAATGAGCAACTTCCCATAATAAATGGAGGTGAAACAAGTGTTTCATTATCAACAAATATTTTAGAAGTCTGAAAAGCATCAATATTTGAACAATTAAGTCAGATGACTTAGAAAATTGTCTTATAATGTAAAATCTAAATAGGACTATATAAAAGTAGTTCACAAAGATGCCTGAAATTTGATCCAACATTCTTAATCTAATGAACATTTATTACTATTTACTATGAACAAAATCAATTATCTTTAAGTTCAAATATATTTCAAATAGCACTTTTCTTAAATCTTTAATAAAAGACTTGAAAAATATCAGTCAGTCATTAAACACAGCTTACCAAAATGCAAAATACTTACTCATCTAATGAGCAGATGTCCAGTGATTATAGAAGTTTTTGTCATAAGAAAAACATGACAAGAAAATGTCAAAATTTGTTTTTATTTAAAATTGTTATTTTTGACAAATAACTGTATAAAGGAAGAACTAATATTTAAATAAATATATCTAAACAACAAATATTATTTAGTGGAATTACTAACCCTTTCACTGTGCAATTAATTTTCAGGCTGATTCCCAAAAAATGTCAATTATCTATCAAAAAATAAAAGTATGAATTTGATCCTTTGTATTACTTTTTCAATAGTGAAAGAAGCTGTATTTCCTATATCTGACAGTTATATTCTAGAAAACTGAATTGGATAGTGAAAAATAACAATTTAAACAAAAAATTGAGGAAAATTAAAAGAAGAGTGTTCTCCAGTAAACAGCATAAATATGAAGCCAAAATCAGTACAAAATACTAAACAAATTATTTAGATAACAATATACAAGATATAAAGAAATTGTCTTTATATAGATTCTTTATGTGTTCCTGCAAAATTGGCAATTTTGAAATGAGGCATATAAACATCCTGGTTTTACAGCACAGAACACAGATCCATGCAGATTTGATGATTGTTTCAAGTACAGGAGGATATTCCTGCATGTTGCAGTAGCTGTGGGGTAAATCCAAATTTCGCAATCAGTGGGTATAAAAGTTTATTCGGATATATCCATACTATGCAGAAATATGTTAAGCAATTATGAATAAATGCTGCCTTCATGTCTTTTTTTGAATGAGAAACAAATGTTATACATTTTTATCCTTGTAATTTCAAATTGAAATGGAGGATTTGATAATAAAATGCACAAATGTTATATTAATCTATAATTCACTGTCACATTAAAGTTGTAGAAATAACTTTTATCTGTCCATTCAAAGCTCAATGTTCGACCAAAATGCATTCCACAGTGTGAAGAGCTTTTTCTTGCTTGTTTCCAACTCCAGTAAAAATTTAATTATAAAATGTTAACATCTGTCTTACTAATGAGTAGAATAGTCACAAAGAAGCATGACTTCCTGAAGAAGTTATGTAATAACTACCATTGCTAAGGAGTGACTATTCTACATTATTACATAACATCCTCAAGAAGTCATGCTTCTTTACTGTTGCTAATGGGTGACTTATTCTACATTATTATATAATAACGTTCTCAGGAAGTAATACTTCTTTACTATATCAATTAACCATAATAATCACCCATCTCTATTTCAGAGTTGAAATTTATTCAATAAAAAGTTTTATTTATTTAACTTTATACATAAAAACATAAGCTTCAAATTTGAATCTTGGGTTGATTTCAGCAAGCTCCCACAGAATTGTTCGAGAATTTCCCAAATTTTTGGTAAGCATAATACGGCACTCACAGCCCCTAGGAGGAAAGTCTTAACAGTTTAGAACAAAATAAAGCTAATTTGTCCTTACAATTTCAATAGAATTATTGTTTTATCCATTTTTAGCCAATCAATGATATTCAATCTCAGTTATCATGGTGTAATATAATTGCCACTACCTGTTCTGAGAAGTCATAGGCTACTGACTTAAATATATTATGAAACCTTTTTTTTTCAACTGTAAAAGCTAAAAAGGGACCAAGTTCTGTGGAAATTTACATAGAGATTGGAATAAAGTGACAAAATCCTGGTTTGGTGATATGTTGCTAAACAAAAAGATGTTTGTGAACAGCTTCTGCTCCAGTAAGTCGTGACTTTTTTCAAAGCTTGCCTTATTATTTTACACTTCAATTGAGTTATAATGTTCAAGAGTAATAGGAAAAGATATTTTTTTGTGGAACAAGATGAGGTAGGCTTAGTTAAATAATTTGTCCTTGACCATACTGCATTAAACAATGTCAGTCAATGTAACTTCTTGAATGGGCATAGAAAATCACCAAAAAGAAATGTAAAAACCTATATATGTTATATAAAATGGGTTGAAAATGTGTTACATATAATAAATGAAACCTCCTGATTAACAATTTTTAAAAAAATTGGCTTGCTTATAATTTTAGTATGGTAAAGTTATTTTTATTGTATGCCTGTGATTGTAAACACAAGGAAACTGTGAACATTGTTTTCAAAATCAAACAAAGAAAAATTAGCAGCTATATAATATAAAAACTTCATAAGAACGTGTTAAAACAATGTAGAAAGATTAACAAGTCTGTAGTTAAAATCTACAATAAGGATATGTATTTTAACAACATGTGCATCCAATAGACATATCCCGGTCTCATAAAGGTAAGAGAATCTAGTTTTGTAAACATACAGAAATAAAGTCTACTTATTGAAGTCATCTAATTGAAGAAATCAAATATTGTACATTTAGATCAACAAATAAGTAATGAATTCAATAAACACTTACCTGCCAGTGAGGCTAAAGCCAGATCACTTAGAGGACTATGTTCTTGTTTTCCTCTGTATACAGCTCTCAATCCATGAAAGGTGTAGAAATACACAAAGTTAGATGCACACAAACTGGTTAAAACAGGTCCTAGGCCCCTGTACAAGCTTTCTCTAAAAAATTTACAAATTATAATGAATATTTTGTAGAATACAATTATTATATTGTATACACTTACAACAATTACTGTATTCTTAATTATTCTTACATATGTTCTACCAGGAAAAGTGATTTATATATATGATCAACTCAAACCCTTTCTTTTGTTATCAAACTGTTCTTTATTTAACCAGTTTGTAGCATCACAGGCTACTCTTCAGAACAAAAACAAAAAAGTACTAGACACTTTAATTAAAATTAATAATGTTCATTATCTAACTTTTAAGTTTGACAAATTTAAGAAAAATCCATTCTTTCAGTTTTATGTGAATGATCTATTGAAGACATGGTATTTCTCTTCTTTTTGTAGTTCACAAAATCTCTTTACCATTAACATCTATTTTTAATCAGTATTTTTAATACATATATTTTACTGTTTATTAAATAATATAATCAAATAAGAGGTTTCAGATACTTATTTATGGTTATTTCTTTATTTCTAAATTTCTGGCTTTTTTTAAATGATTAACCAATCAATGAATAATATATAATAATACATTTTATCATTACAAAACTGACATATTCTTACTAAAAACTCCTATTCAAGTCAACTTGGTAATTTTCATTCATTACTCAAAATTAATACAATTTAAAAGTTCATCTTTTATATGCAATTTTTCTCACCACGCCAAAAAAACTGTCAAAAAATAAATTTTAATTCTTCCTTCACAAGTTTATGAGAAAAAGAAATTGCATCAGTAATTATACCTTAAATAAAACTTGTATAGAAGAAAAAAACATGCAAACTATAAATATCCTGTAAGTCACCATATTTATAACAGTTAGGAATTCCATTTGTCAATTTTAAATAAATACAGAATTTCTCTGAAATTGATCAAGTATCTAAAAGCACTATGTATATTAGTGCTTCTAATGCCAACATATTAAAATATAAGCAGTTGAATGATGCTGTTCAAGTAATGATTATTCATACCTAGTAAATGACAAGGGAGTCTACAGACTATAAGAATTGGCCTACCAAGGCAACATATTAGAAATAACAAATTGGTGTTGGCATTATTTTTTAACTGGTGTTTAACTAAATGTTTATTGGAAATCATACTAATTTTTGTATTTTTAAAATAAAAAAAATCAAAGGATTATGAAACAAAATTGGAAGTTGCATTTTGGCATTAAAAATCATAGATGTTGGCTTCTCTGTGAATCAAACCCCACAAATACTAACCACAACTGAGAAACGTGTACTCCTAGGACTAAAGGGATGCTCTAAGCACATTCATCAGAAAAATAGATATATAAATAAATGGAGTATAGATCAAGTACACCAAATATTAAATAGCTTACAGTCCCTCCTCTCTGATGAATTCTTCTATCATAGCAAAGGTATTCTTAGACTCTCTGCTGTCTTCCACTAAAATGGAATTAGTATTGTTTCATTATAAGTCTTCTATGAATATAGTCAATTTGCTCTTAAATCTGCATTTTTTTTACAACAAACCACAACCTTTTTGTCTCCTTTAACTTCCTGAATTTCAAGTTTGGGAATGTTTTATACAAAAATCAATTATGAACAGGTCATTTCACAACAAAATAAGGTATTAAATGAATATTTACTTAATAACAAATTATTTTTGCACATACATTTGTACACACAAAAATAAACCAAGCAAATGTAAAAGTATGTGTATAAGTATATCAGTTTACGAGTCCTAAGTCCAAGTTCAAAAAGAATAAAAAAAGACTGGACTAATTTGGCTTTTAAAAACACACAATATTGAAAACCACTGTTAGCAAGACACTAACAGCTTCTTTCTGCATTACATGTATACTCACATTTTATATGATTACAATAAAAAAAATTCATGAATATCATCACACCAGTGTACATGTAGACTAAGAAGGCTTGATCCACTGATACATTTTCATTTTTCACACCTGTTTGAAATCACCATCACTCTTGTTTTGACTGCAGTGAGTGGCCAGAAAACTGACATAATCATCATTCAAATAGCTTTCAAACTTCAAAATAGCTATAACTTACAAATAAAAGAAAATTTTTAAATAAAACATTGAAATAAAGGAGCACAAGAAAGGGGCAATTCAAAGAACAGAGAATTTTTACAAAGTAATGTGTCATTTGAATAATTTCAGCATCAAATCAATTCAGAACTATCAGGATATGCACAGAATCAAATTCAGAAACAAAACTGTTTGAGGGCAGTAATAAGAAAGAAGTTGAAACCAAAAAGCTTTATATTTCATATGTGAGCATAGATAAGTATTTCAACATTGCCATATATCACAAAAATTGGAATAACAAATGAAACAATATGCTAAAAACTGACAAACCAAAGATTGAACTGCTTGACACTTCTTGGGTACCTTCTTGACAGAATAAAATGGTGGGAAATACCAGTTTATAATCCCATAAAACTGAAAATGTCATCATATAACTAAAGCTAATTAGACCTACTAAATATTGCTTACACTCAATGAACTTCTGATGTCAAATATAGTAATGCTGAGTAAAAATACACTATTTAAACCAAATGACACTTTTCTTTTGCAATCTCTCGTGACAACACTCAAGACTTTCATCTGATACTGAATATGTATGGATATACCTATACATAAATACTTTTCTCCAATATCTAAACACAACTCAAGTGGTTTATAAGCCTAATATTTTCACATTATGAATATTTTAAACTTTCTGATGTGATCATTTTCACGTTTTTGTTATTTCAGTGAATTAAATATTTCTTATGATTATCTGAATTTTATATAAGAAATGTATTAAAACTTGTATTATAGAAGAAAAATGGAAATATACCACAGTTAAGTTCTTTGTGTCCAACAATCTTGTAATGTGACAAATAACTACTAAGTTACATTATATATTTTTTTCTGTACATTCTCATATTTAACTTAATTTTCCTACTTTAAGTTTGAATTTCACAGCATTAAAAATCTTTCCTTGTTGATTATTTATTCAGGTATGAAAACTTACTGTATAAAAGTTTTAATTATCAAAAACAAAACCCAACTACCTTTAAAAATTATATTAGAAACTGCTTTGATAACTAATTAAAGTGAATTTTTCTCATTCAAAACAAGTACAGGTGCTGCAATCCAAAATTAGTATTAACATTTTTCACAAAAACAATTTCACATACACACACCTTTAATACAAAAGTAAACCATATTTATATAGTTTCCTCCCCCACCATTAAGGAAAAACTGAGCAGTATAGACTGAAGTGAATTAGATTAACTACACAGTACAGGAAACTCAAAGAATGGAGCAAAACACTGTATAAGGAAAACTTTCTTAAGCATTTGTCTCAGACTTGTTCTACAACACACAAGGAGGAAAATTTTTCAATCTCCTCGAAGGCCAAAAAGCAAGGTCACTCTATCATGGTTAACAGAATTTTCCTCAATTTCTCATACATTTATTTTTATGTTAAATTAAGTCCTGAAACTTGATGTTAGAAAAGTAATAACTGTGTGCAAATCCAAGGTGCTATGCATGATTTCTAATGTCTATATCTATTCCATGTTCACTTTTTACTCTTAGCTTTGTTAAAGTTTAGGTTATAGAAGACATTTTGTATAAATTTAGTTCAGATTTAAAGATGTAGGTAAATAATTTTGAACTTTATAAACAATATATTACTGTGTACTGAAAAGTAGCATTTTTAATTTTGACAATTAATCAGTAGGTGCAAAACTCCATGGTGTTATGTTGTAGTACATAAGAGTACAAAGTCGTATATTTATCAACTAGTAGAAGCAGTTTATCAAATATACATATACAATTGAAACTTCTTAACTATAATCTATTTTGATTTTAATACATTAATAACAGTCATTACATGTTCAGGATATACTTCTGTAAAATGTAAATCAAATACAGATAAAACTATTACTGATCAACCAACTTCCATCAGCTTATTAAGAAACATTATGAAATTACCGTTTTCATATCAACCAAGGTAATTGAGCCCACACTATAAAATACTTTAGAGATTAATGGAAAATACATGTATAATAAAGTCTATAATGGACAAAAAACTCCTTTTGTGACTGATGGTGTTTTCATCATGACTGAGCTGGGCAACATGGTTATTCAACTGTTGTGGATTATGGACTGAATTCTAACAAATATACTTAGTTTTCAACTTTTAGTTTTTAATTAATCATTTTGTATATAAATCATATAAAGCATAGGTTGTTTATAGAACTGCTTCACAAATTACCATAAAAAACTTTTATCTTTGAAAAAGTGATAATCTTTTCAATGTTTCTGTTTTCATAATTTTCTCAAAATTATATCCATCAAATATTCTAAGTCTAGGTATTGAAAAAGTACTGTACTTTCACTAGAAAAATTTTAAAACTAATATTTACATTAATATTGAAATTTTCTCTTTTATTCAGTATAGAGTAATACAAAGCATAAATTAACTTGTCTTTTAGATTGCCTTATTTTATTGTCTATACTTCCCATTTGGTGAATATTTGCATATGTTAAAATTTTTCTTACAGTTTTGATACATTTTAACCATTTTCCCCCTTTCTTCTCTTCATTTAATTTTTGTTTCTAGTGATGTGACCATCTACATGTCATAGAAAGAATAGTAATAAATCATTCATTGTGATTGGACATATCCTTCAGCCTTGAATAATGTAGTTACCATGAGCTAGATGATTAATGATACAGATTGATGTTATTGCAGAATCCATAATTATGCATACTTTACCTTGTAGTCTAGAACGTACTGTATCTAGTGGGAAGAATACTGTCATGGCCGTGACACTGCCCTGAAACAAAATATACCCACATTTTGTTTTATATCATAGCATAGTACATACTATCATCTTTAATACAACATTTAATGCAATTCTCCTGTAATATAAAAATATTTGTTTATTTATATAACATTTTATTAGATGTGTATTTGGCCCAATTTTTGTTATATGAAGGCACTTGTTTACTAATACTGAACTAAAACCTACTCGAGTTTCTATGATACAATATCAATTAAGCATTACAGGACCTCATTCTTTCTTTACTTTCACAAAATGTAATTACTCCATGTTTATTTTTATAAACATAAATAAAATAACAACCTATATCTCCAGAATGTAACTTTATTAGCTCCGTATTTTGCTATTACAGCTTCATCAGGAGCTATCGATTTTTTATCAGTTCACTAATCCAGTTCAATCTAAATTGGAATACTGTTAATAATAAATTGAATATCAATACGAGTGTTTAGAAAGTTCAGATTATATTAAAATAATGTGTAAACCAACAAGTAACCTATTACAATTATTAGACTTTGAATAGTATACATTACGTATATAGAATATCTCTTCATATTTGTATCTGTAAGTATTTATTTCACCTTATCATATTAATACATACACAAAAGAACGTCTGAAAATATCTCTCAACCCTTACAAGTTTGTAAAGAGATTTCGTCCAAGTTCAAATTATTAAAATCTTAAGAAAGCTGTTAACATCTTTACACCAAAGGCCAACATTTATATTTGTGCATTTTAGGTTTCTTTTTCCTGATGAAAACTTCTTCCTAAATCTTTCGGTCTAGAAAATTAGACCATTTGGACAAGATCTTGACATCCGATAAGATGTTATCTGCTTGTAGTATACCATGTTCTTTTCCCATAATGTTCTGCATTAGCATTGTTAGTACTGAGGTTTTAGATGTCATGCACATGTTCAGATATTTGATCATGTACAGGTTGGTAAGTTTCTCCTATATACATACTGGAACATCTGCCACAAGTTACTTCCTACACAACACTCTTACTATGACATCGATCATGCTGTCCATATTTAGTAGCTTTACAGT